ATTAATTATGTGTCATGGTATTTAATCATAACCATTATTTGTTTCCATTTTTTCCCATCACCTTTAGCAGAAGCTCTGTGTTCCCTAATCAATGGCTCCATATTTATTTTCCCTGACTTCTTGTTACTGGTAACCACTGGCAAACTTTGATCTATTTGTTGTCATGCACTATCAAGTTGGTAGAAACAGATATCCAAATGAAAATAAGATTCTCTCTAGGATTTTCTTCATGCACTTATATCAATAACTATGTTTGACAGGGTTCTCTAGAGAAACAAAACCAGGATACACAATTTTATATATATTTATATAGATAGATAGATATACAACATATGAAATAAACAGCTAATTTGTCTATAGAGCAGTACAAATGGCTCAGTGCAACTCACTTCCATGAGACAACTAATACACTGGCAGTCCTGCAAGTCTTGAGGGCCATCGGGTGCAAGTCAGGGAAGCAGACAGCTGAGTCCTCTGTAGAGCAATTCAGGCAATCTGGCCACAAGCAGCAAACAGCAAAGCACGTCACCAACAGTCAGCCAAATGACAAGTCCGACAGTCCCCAGCTCATGTAATGTATACTCCTGTAGCGTGGTGAGGCAGGCCTTGAAGGAATCTCAGACTACAGCAACATAGTCCACAGGTTTGGTGTCCCACAGGTAGTGTAACTCGCAAGTTAAGGCAGAGAATCAATTAAGGCAGCTTCACACTGGTCTGATTATCAAAGAGCAAGAGACAAGAAAAAAGAGGTTCGCCAAGCCATTTATTGCTCCATCCTTCAATTAATTCCACATGTGAAAACAAACAACAAAAATTCCCATAAACCTACCTGTCATAATAGCATTACTCAAGTTATCCAACCATTCTTTGCCTTCTTTTCCACGTTCTGCCTCTCCCATTAATATAGACATACTGTCCCCGTGAAGTTCCCTATCTGATTTTTTGAGCAGTTATTGTCAGATTCATCCCCTATAGATGGATCTCAAAAGATTGCTTGGTTGTTTGACTTTAAGAAAACTTCAAGGGATATTTTATCATCCAAAATTTATCAACGTGTATGTTTTTAAATCGTATTAAGTCTTTAAATAGATGCCACTTGTTTAAGGCTTCAGGTTTAAAGATGGTTTGAAGCCAATCTTTTTAGAGGTTTATTTAGCACCCATGACTTCAGAAAACCTGGATTCCATGAAAATGTAAAATTCTCTTCTGTAGTTTACCTCATGTGATTTCATTCTCCTATGGAATCTGATCAAATTGTCCATTAGTAGTTGCTAGGCACCATCCAGTTCTTCTAGTTTCAGAACAATAGGAAGTTGTTCATGTGGACAGTTAGCCACACACTATATCCTCTGCTTGTTCCTGTTTCTCCCTCTTCCTTGGTTGCTTCAGGCAAATAGAGACCAACTGTTGTTCTCGACTTGTGCAGTTAGGAGTCATTTAATCTGAGTCTCACCATTTACTATCTGCAAATGAGATTGAATCTGCCTACCTTTCAAAATGTTATGATAAATCAATAAGATAAGAAAATGAATGTGTATTTTGCAATTGAAAAGTCAATTCCCATTAAGTAATTCCAACCTTGCCACAGAAAATAAAGTTTTTAGTTGTGTTTTTTTAAACTTTTTTATGACTTAAAACTTTACAGAGTAAATTGGTTTTCTATTCAACAATTCATACATTGATTGCAATCCCCAAGATATACCAGCCTTCTTCCCACTTCCACTCTCCTTGTGTTTTTATACTATTCACCCTTCTTTCCTGTTCCTTCTTGCTTTCAACAGTTTTTATCCGTAATCAAATGCTGTCTCTTTGAATTTGTACAATTGATCTTCCAGGGAGTGTATGTTATTCTCAGAAGTTATTCTTTCCCTCCAAGCTGGTATACTGTTGGCCTGAAAGCTGAGTCAGAGGAGTGAGCACAGGTCCAAGAGTGAAGAATCGCCAAAGGCCACACTGTGGATTCCAAGTCTCCACCAGACCAGTAAGCCTGATCTATTTTATGATTTTGGTTTTGTTCCACTTTCTTTTCCCACTCAACTCAGGACCCTCTCTTGTGCTCCCTTTCAGAGTAATTAGCAGTGAAAGCTAAGCAACATCTAGTTCTTATGGTCTCATGGTTGTGGAGGCTGAGGTTTGCTCTGGTCCATTCATCCTCTGGATTAATTGTTTCCATATATCTTTTATTTTCTTTGTTCTTATTTTATGGTATTTCTATGCTGTCTCTTGGGGAGGGGGATAACAAAGAGCATGCAGGTGGGGCAGGCACAACTGTACATCTGGGTGGGCACTGTACTGCTTGGTATAGCTGTGATCCAGAAACACCAGGTTCAGCTCTCTTTTGGGCACTGAAAGCTGGAAGAGCAATGAGGTATCCATGTGCCCTGTGTAAGTCTGGGAGGCCCTCTCCCCACAATGTTGGGCCATCTCAATAGAGGGATAGCAATGCAGAACCTGGGTCCCCTTATGGTAAGTCGCAATTGCCTGTTCCCATGCTCGGCCCAGGCCAAACTCTAGCGCCTCTTCCTCTGTTTTGAAAGCTTTGTTACACCAACTCCAATGGAAGGTTTTCTTCTTGGAAATTCTCTTATGTTTAAGGAAACCTGGCTTCCACATAGAAGATTTTCCACATTTAATTCATGCAAAGGGCTTCTTTCCTTTGTGAAATCTCTGATGTGCTGTAAGGCATTGTTCACCACAAACATGGGATTTTTCTCCTGTGAATTCGTGGATTGGTTTTGAGATTTCTTTTTTAAATGAAGCTTTTGCCACATTCACTATGTATACGGGGTTTCTCTTCAGTATGAGTTCCCTGATGAACACTGAGGTTCTTCTTCCTGACAAAACCTTTTCCACATTTATCACATACATTTGGTTTTTCTCCAGCATGAGTTCGCTGATAGACAGTGAGAGAAGCCACCCAGGTAAAGGATTTTCCACATTCACCACATACATGGGGTTTCTCTCTAGTATGAGTTTGCTGATGAACAGTGAGAGCATTCTTCAAGATAAAGGTTTTGCCACATTGAGGTTCTCTCCTGTGTGAATTATCTTATGTGCTAGAAGATGTTGCTTCTGGTTGAAAGCTTTACCACACTCACCACGTACATAGGGTTGTTCTCCTACATGAGTTAGTAGATGAGTTTTGAGATGTGCATTCTGAATGAAGCCTTTGCCACCTGCACCACATACGTGGGGTTTCTCTCCAGTACGACATTGCTGTTGAATAGTGAGGTAATTCTTCCTGATAAAAGCTTTTGCACATTGACTATATACATGGAGTTTCTCTACAGTATGAGTTTGCTGATGAGCAGTGAGATCACTCTTCCTTGTGAAGCCTTTCCCACATTCCCTGTATATACAGGGCGTCCCTGCCACATGAGGTTCCTGATATCCCTTGAGGTATGATTTACTTTGAAAATGTTTGCCACATTGCAAGCATTTTCCTAGCTTTTGTCCTTCATGAGCTTTTTGATAATGTTCATTGAGCTTGAACACTTTCTTGAATTTTTGCCCACAACGACTGCATTCATAGGTCTTATCTAGTATGTCAATGATCTGGTGCTCACAGAGTAAAGACTGCTTGGCTGTCCCACATTTCTCACCTGTGTGTGGTTTCTCAGTTTCATCAAATTCCTGATGCTGAATCCACTGTAACTTCATGAGCCTGGATTGTTCACACTCTGGGAATTTCATTTCAGTACAAAATTGTTCTTGTTCAACATGGAGAAAAGTTTTCCCCTCTTCATTGAGTACTGTATTTTTGTTGCTTCTGTTCTGATTTAATTTCAGAATGATTAAATCTGATTTTATAATTATTTCATGTAAATCAAACATCTCATGCATCTTTCACATTGCAAGTGCTCAAGGAAATGATCATCATCTTTCTGGATTTCAATGGAAACCAGGTTGCGATAGTTCTCCAACATCACATCCTGTTATAGGGTCTTCTGAGCAGGGTTCAGGAACTGCCATCCCTCCCAGGTGAACTTTACTACCACATCATTGAATGTCAGTGATTCCTGAGTCTTAGCCATTTCTTTGGTCCTTAGGACACTGCAGGCAACTGGGATGCTCTGTTTGTCTTATCTGGATCAGCTCTAATGATGCTCACAGATTTCAACCTCTTATGAGGACATCCCCAAAATAATAATACCAGGCACTTCTTCCTCCTCCCTCTATGCTCCTGGTGATGCACCATCCGCAGGCCTGATTGGAGTCAGGGGAATGGATTTGGTTTACAACCCAGTCAGGAGTTGAAATCCTTCCTTGTGATACTTCAATGTGCAATTAAGTAGTAACAGATTTCTAGCTCCCTAGACTTGACCATATTTCTCTGTGGCAAATCTTTGTTTCGCAGAAACTCGTGGGACGCTCACTAGGATCCTTCTCCAGGTTTTTAGTTTTTTTATACCTATGTCTGATGTGGCAAAGAAGAGTGAAAAGGGAGTTCAGTTCTGAAGGGAAATTCCTAGTCTGGTGTGCTTCTCGTTCACTCACGCTGTCCTCCATCATTCCTGAAGCGTTCACAGTTTCAGGGGCACAGCCGGCGCTACTGTGTGCTACTTGGAATTACAAGTCCAATTTTCTCCCATGTATTTCACCAAGAGTGGTAATAAAAGACTGGAACCTGGGCCATGCCACCATATAAATGAAGCCCTAGCCTTTCAACCGCCATAGTTAGGCCTCTGAAGTGCTGGTGATGTTCATCAAATAGGTCAGTCTTCTGTAATCATCCTAAAAATTCGGCTATGTCCACAGGTGGTGACTACTGCAGGACAACAAAAATGTCCAAGAGTTAAATAAACTTTTATTTTCTAGCAACTGTCATGAATTCTTCCATACACACCTGTAAAGTTAATGACTAGATCCAATACTTAAATCAAATTTGAGGTAAGTTTTTGTTTTGCTTTTAAAAACTGAAGTATAAGGCTTACCTATGTCTAATGAATTTTCTAGTAGTGTTTTTATCCAGTGAATTACTCCAGTCGTGTTTTAAAGACTCAGATGTAGAAAAAAAAAAACACCATTAAGGATATCCAGTATCTCAGGAACATAAAACTGTCTTCAGAAATTGGTTGGGGTCTTTCTTCAGCTCCTCCAGCCAGCTGAAAGACGGCCAAGCTTACTTCATGTGCAAGGCTGTCTGCACGTTCTTGAGAATCTGCTTCTGCATACACTCGAAATACATCCTGTTCCAGAGGGCCGGACAAAAGCCCGGGAAAGTCTGTACTTCTTCACCAGACCATTGATTGCATCCTGCAGTCCTGGGGGTGTAAGTGCCTGTCTTTCAGCATTGGGGGTACCGATAACTTGCCTGTCTGCAACCTTAACTTTGAGTTGTCTGTTTGGAATATCTGTATAGAGAGCATCCCACTGTTGTACAGTCATGCCCTTTAAAGCTAAAATTGCTTCAATCACCAGCATGTCAGAAATAGCATCACCAATTGCCTGGTTAAATAGGTCAATAATGTTTTCAAGAATCTGAGCGGCTTTCCTTTTATTACCTTCTAGTTCCTGTGCTAGTTGTCCTATCTTCATTTCAGCAACTTTACTAAATAATACTGTGCCATGGCCATTTGCTTCAAAATAAATTCTAATGTCAAACTCTTGAGCCTTGTGGTGCAAGTGTTTTACACCAGTTTTAGTACAATAGACAGGTACCTTCATCACTTCTTCAAGATATCTTGTTGAGCTTCCATTTGCATACACAGTTTGTATAACACCAACCTTCAAATCTTCTCCAGTCTCCAATAGAAGCTCTTTGAGGAAACTGGTAGTGAGCATTGCTATTTTGTCTCCATCTATGAGATGAAAGTGGCCATCAGCATCTCGGTAGTAATAAACAATTCTGTCTGCATCGCTATCAAAGGAACAGCATCTTTCATTGGGCTTCATTTCCATTCCCTCAGGAGGTTTCTGAAGACTTTTCACAAAATCAGCCCCACATAAGTGATTGAGTTTCCCTTTGGTCCCAGCATTGAACAGGAGAACTGACACCTTGGGGGAGAAGTAGTGTTCCATTTCTCTCAGCTTCAGGGCCCGGATACCATTAGCACAGTCAGCCTTCAATTGTTCTTCGTTCATCTCCTGTGTAGGAAGCCTGTTTGTTAAGTTCCACAAAAGCCTTGGCGTGTTTCTGATAGTAACCTTCCACATTTGGCTGCTCATACTGGTCGTTGGTATTTCGACAGTACACCATGTAGTACAGCTGCGGTGTTGTTAACAAGCCATAATCATGGAATTGACCTCCCAACACAGTCACACCGTGTATTACAGAGAATCTCTTGCAGAGAAGGGCTTGGGCTAGGCTATGCCCACGCTCTCCTGACAAATGGACTGGAGCAGTGTGCAGTTTATTTGACAACCAAATTTAATTGTTTTTGGCTAATGTTAAGAATCACTATAAACATTATTTTGAATATCTTATTTTTCCACCTTCATTGTCCACAAATGGCCAGATTAAACTTAGTTAATTCTTAAAACAAACAAACAAAACCCCCCAAAACTCACTACCATAAAGGGGATACCAAAACCCTAAAGGACAGTATAGAATTGCCTATGTGAGGTTCTCATTTTGGGAAACAGGTTTTCTGTGACTGTAACTCTTCAGGGGATTAGAAAGCTTTTTCTTTCTCCTAAGGGGCAACTAGTAATTTCAAACCACTGGTGTTACAATTAGCAGTCCAATGTGTAAATGCCCAGAAAGCATCCCACACTGCCTTGCAGCCTCCTGCCCCAGGGCACTCACCTTTGCTTATTCTATAGACTGAGAAGTCCACCACTCTATTTCATGATATTGGCATGGCTCCTCAGCTCTGTCTAATAGTTTATATGCAATGCCTTCCAGTGTCTCTGCTGCCTCCATTATTTTGTGCACACAACCCATTGGTATTTGTTCTTTCTTTATTGTCCAGGGATTCCTCATTTCTACTTCTGCGATTGCTCCTTTTAGTGGAATATCAAAACTGATGAATCCCTCAGCTAGTGTCCTCTAAACCTTATTTCCATGCTCTCACCAGTCTATTGGTGCCAATTTAAGCAATAATGAATAGAAGAGTCCTGTCTAGTTATTTTATTTCACTACAGTAATCATGGACTCTGTGGACCCATAATGAACTGTGGATAAGCTGGAGGAGAGTGGGCATTCTGGACCACATCATTGTGCTCGTTCAGAACCTGTCCATGGATCCAGAGGCAGCTGTGCAAACAGAATAAGGGAATACTGCATGTTTTAAAATCAGGAAAAGTATGCATCAGAGTCGTATCCTCTTACCATACTTCTTCAATCTATATATGAGTAAACCAGCAGAGAAACTGGATTATATGAAGAAGAGTGTTGCATCGCGATTGGAGGAAAGGTTATCAACAACCTGTTGTATGCAAATGACACAGCCTTGCTGGCTTGCAGAAAGCTAGGAGGACTTGAAGCACTTGCTTCAAGATGAAGATCAAGGATCATAGCCAAGGAAAACCACAATCCTGACAACTGGACCAGGAAGTGACATCATGATGAGTGGAGACAAGTTTGAAGTTGTCAAGGATTTCATCTTGCTTGGACCAACAATCAAGGCTCATGGAAGCAGCAGTCTTGCTCCACGAGACCTCTTTAGAGGACTGAAGAGCATGGATGTTCCCTTGAGGACTAAGGTGAACTTGATCCAAGTGATGGTATTCTCCATTGCCTCATATGCATGTGAAAGATGGACACTGAATACAGAAGACTGTAGAAGAATTGATACATTTAAATTGTGGTGCTGGAGAAGAATATTGAAAGTATCGTGGGTTGCTAAAAGGACAAACTGATCTATGTGGGAACAAGTAAGGACTGAGTGCTTGTGAGAGGCAAGGATGGTAAGATTTTGGCTAACATACTTTGGACCTACTGTCAAGAGAGACCGGTCCCTGGAGAGGGACATCATGTTTGGTAAAGTGGAAGGGTGGCAGAAAAGAGGAAGAGATCAGAGAGATGGATGGACACAGTGGCTGCATCAGTGGGCTCAGGCACAGGGACAATTGTGAGGGTGGTGCAGGACCATGCAGTATTTCATTCTGTTGTGCACCAGGTCATTGTGGGTCAGAGTTGACTTGATGATGCCTAACAACAGTAATCCTCTTACAATTATATGGAATACAATGGATTTTAATTCAGGATGCATGTTACTAACTTTTGTACAATTTTGATATAAATTTCTATATTAAAAAAAAACAAGGTATAAATGGCATAGTGTTAAGTGATAACCAAGTGCTGCATGGGAGAAAGATGTGAAGTGTGCTTCCATAAAGCTCGCAGCTATGCAAACACGTTAGGGCAGTGGTGCACGGCACTGAAAGGCAGAGAGGATTTGAAATGCACTCAGCCACAGTGAGCTGTGAGATATAAAATACCATGATGGAAGCAACTGGTGTTCAAACAGTCACCCCCAAAATCAGGTGTACACATTAAAATGTGTATGCATATACATTAAATAAAAGAGATAATGAAAATATTGGAAGATAACTGGAAACCTGTATATTTAAATGAAGAGTATATTGTGTTCTTAACAGTAATCTTCAAATTTTCCATAAATATGAATATTTTCAAAACCTAACATTGCAGAGATATAAGAAATGGACTTGGTAGTTATGCATTCTGGGAAAAACAAAGCAAAGTTTATGGAGAAGAAAACTCCTCACAAGTAAAAATTCTTGTTATTGTGTGATGCAGTTATTCCCCTGTGCTCAGTAGAATTTCAGATAGATTTCAAGAAGCTAAATGTTTAGACTATAAATGAAGTTACAGAGTATCTAATCAATTTTTAAATAATTTCCCTGGTTGTTTCTAGGGAGCCTATCTGACCTATCAGTATATTCAGACATTTGCTGACATGAACATTTTCAGACATAGATAAAACAAGCCCCACTCTCAATATCCAGATCATAAGAGCTCTTAGAAATTTTCAGATTAAGTGATGAATAATTGTTAGCAATTATTATTATTTATTCAGTTACAAAACATTTATTTATCGCATATGTGAGGCAGGCACTATAAAAGTGACTGGAGATATAAGGAAGGCAGAAGAAATAAAATTGAACAATTATTTAAATTTCAACAAATAACTCTATATCACTAATATAAACACAAATATCTTTAAACTTTCTAAATTGAAAAAATATATACATCATCTTTTAAAAATTTATGAAAATTCATTTTATAAATAAAAATGAATGACTTAAAAAATTTACACCCAAATAAACTTGTACTAACGTGTTATGTTTGGACAGTAAATAGTTTGAGACACTAAGAAGGATTGAAAGACAACAGTTGAAATGATCCCTATGTGTTTCTGCTAAAATGGAAGCAAAAACAAAGATCAAATTTATGATCAACCTGGGGAGGAAAAAGGATAAAATTATTGATACTTTACAAAAAGTTTATAGAGACAATTCCTTCAAAGAAATTAGCAGTGTGCACATGGATAACTTGTTTTAAGAAGAGGTGAGACAACTTTGAAGATGAACACTTCACTGGCAGGGATATAACATAATCACAGAGGTGGTTTTTCTTGAGTAGACTGACCCGTGCACTCCAGATGTGGCGACCTCTGTGATTTCCCCAAATGTGGGAAACTTGCTTACATAGTGTGTGGTCATGGGGAATTGCATTTGAGCTCTTGCCTAAAGTGAAAATTATTGAAGAAGAAACCCAGAGGAGCAGACCCGCCACATCAGTTTTTGAGAAAAAATCAAGGTTGGTCATGCACTCATGGAGGAGAACAGATGGTTAACAGCAGAAACAACAGCCAACAAAGTAAATGCATCGATTGGTTTAGCTTACATGATTCTGACTGACTAATTAAGTTTAGCAAGATTTTCGAAAACGATTGTGCCAGGATAACCAGTTGGTAAGAATATAGCATTCAATGGAAATTCTTTTCAAAATGGGTTAAAGATCGTGAAGCCTTTCTGTGATGAATTGTGATCGCATATAAAGCATGGCTCCCTACTATGATCGGGAAGATAAATTGCAATCAGAGCCACAAGCACCAAGGAGTAAGATCATGGTAACAGTGTTCTGAGATGCTCAAGGCAAGTGCTTGGTGGCTTTCTGATGGGCTAACGAATGATAATATCTGCTTATTATGAAAGTGTCTTGAGAAAGTTAGCCAAAGCTTTGGCAGAAAAATACCCATTAAAGCTTCGCCAGTCTCCTTCTCCACCATCACAATGCCCCTGCATCTTCCCTTGACACACCAAAGACAAGTTACAAGACTATCAGTGGACAATCAATAGGTGTCCCACTAATAGTACTAATTTGGCTTCTTCTAACTTCTGTTTGTTTCCCACTTAAAAAAATAATACATTTATCCAGTATGGATTGTGATAAGAGATGTAAGAGCCCCCAATAAAAGTATTTAATAATAAAAAAAGTATTAAAAAAATCCTGCATTGACAAGGTTAAATTTGTAAGACCATCTATTCTTTAGAGGTCATCCAAATTCCTGATACCATAGTTTACAAAAATGTCTTGAGCATAATGGAGTTCATGTTGAGAAGTAAAGTTTTATGCATTTTTATTTGTATCCTTTTGAAATAGTTAAATACACCAGACACACTGCCATCGAGCCAATTCCAATTGAGGGGCCCTCTATAGGACAGAGTAGAACATCCTGTTGGGTTTCCAAGTCTGTAAATCATATGGATACAGAAAGGCTCATCTGGGCAATGAATGTACAAATGCGCTTTACACAATTGATGTGTGTATGGATTGTGATAAGAGTTGTATGAGCCCCTGATAAAATGATTAAAATAAATAAATTAATTAATTAAAAAAAAAACACAGAAAGGCTCATTTTTCACCTGGTGGTTTTGAATTGCTTGCCCTGTGGTTAGCAGCCTAAGATTGTCAGTGGGTTGTTGTCATGTTGATTCCGATGTGTAGCCACATCTTATAAGGCAGAGCAAAACTTCTCCATAAGGTTTCAAAGGCTGTGATGTTTATTAGAGTGCATTGCCACAGCTTTCTTTCACATAGTAACTGGTGGTGTTGAACTTTCTCCTTTGTGGTTAGACACCAATTGTTTAATCACGGTGTCTTTCTCCCCTGCTTCTAAAATAGATGATAGATGACAGACAGACAGACAGATAAATAGACAAATAGATGATAGATTGATGATGATGATGATGATTATGATGAAGAAGATGATAGATAGATAGATAGATGAAAGACAGATAATATTTAAAGCAAAACCAACCAAACAAACAAAAAAAAACTGCACTCAAGTTGACTGCATCATAGCAGCTCTGTCCAGGTTTTCAGAGGCTGCAAATCTTCAGAGGATCGGATTATCCTGTTCTTCTCCCACACGGGAGCTGCGAAGCTTGTGGTTAGTGGTCCAATGATTAACACACAAACACACACATAAAAAGGTTTCAAAAAACTCACGAATAATTGCTATTTAAAGATAAAAGGGATTTTTTTCTATTAACATACTGAAGACTTTTTGTCTAAATATGTGTACCCATTTCACACTAATCAATATGGTTTGCTCCCAAAGCCCCATCATAATGTGCAAATCAGCACTATGAGAAAATGGAGATGACAAAATGGAGAACGATTACATTATTATGTAGCTGCCAAATGATACTTTCCCATGATAGACAAATTTTATCATGACATACTGCTAATTTATTTTTTAGCATTGAATAGATACCTAATTACATTGCTACATTCCTACAAAGCCCTGAAAATATTGGCTATATAACCTTAATTATCATAGCCATAGTTACTCTCACCTTGTACCTCCACATTTATTGCTGCCAGGTATATGTCTTTAATACACAAAATAGTCAGTAGATTATTTTTGTTATTGCTGTCAATGCAAGGTATCAGCTAACAAAATTGTTGATAAGTCAGGAGAAGTATGTATTTATATTTCCTTTTCAGTATAAAATGTATTATATGGCTTAATCAAGCTTATTCTAGTAATGCAAATTTCACCCAACATTATAAATGTAGTTAATCTACTTTATCGTGTTTGAGAAAAATATAATCATCCCATGGATCCAGAAAAAAAATACACAAAATTTAGTACCTAATCTTGTTGAAAATTCTCAGCAAATTACAACTTAAAGGCTACATGTTCAATCTGGGGTTGGT